TGCACTGACGATTCGTCATTAATAAGAGGAATAAAATAAATTTTGTTACAGACCCCCCCAATTTGAATGATACTCGTAAAATCCAAACAAATCTACATTCTAGATACCAATCAAATCTACAACTTTCATTCTGAATCACTTCAGCTTCTAGAGAAACATTTTGAATCTGTGTCATTTGGTGTGATGTTCCTCTGCCGCCAACTACTGAAGAAATAATGATAAAACCTAAAGTAGTGTCACTCTCCGTATTATCGGGGATTCGATTTTCATACCTGAGTCATTGTTACCAAGTGTTCTCTGATCTGAATTCTACTCGTAGTGAAAATTTTGGATACAATTCTCTCAATGGACTTGCTAGTTTATTCCTGAGTGCTTAGCTGTGAGAGCCTTGGTAGTAACTGGAGAATACTCTACCATTAATTGGCTTAATCTGTGGTTGGAGCAGTTTGGACAGTTGTTTCTATACGTGAGCAAAATGCGAAGTTGAGAGAAAAGTCATAAATATATTATATATTCTGAAGAGGTTGTGACCCAAGATTATAATCTGAGGTAGTTTGAGCAGATTTCATAAGCCCTTGTGGCTGAGGTGGATATGAAGTTCCTCTCTTACTGGGGCAGATATGAAGGACAAGAATTTAGTGGTGATCCCTGTAAATGTAGGTTTGATACGTGCAAACTGTACAGGATATTGTTATGTCTGGATTTAATGTATTCTAAAAAAAGGAGATCCTAGTTAGAAGATTCAAAGAGAAATGCATCATGAATGTAGTGTCTGTGCCTAACGTGTTTATGTCATACAATATAGGTCTGATGATAACAAGAGCTATTGTGTAAGCGTCACCAAATAAAACCACTCGTATATGTTACCCCCGAGACAATCAACTGCATGTACGAGAATTAGGTTCAGTTTCAAAAAATATAAATAGAATAATGAACATTTGTCATCTACAGGACGGAACCATTTACTATGATACTGCCAGAGGACCGCTCTTTCCACTCGACACAAGAACTCTGTGAACTACTCAACACCACTATGCCGGTGCCTCAGTGTCATGAAGACTCTACTCCTATACTTCAGGAGTTCGCACCCTTTCTGAACGTGTGTAGCGCGGGCAGCACGTGGAAAATCTGGTTAGGCATCTCAGACGAGCTTCAGGAAGGTGTTTATATCAACGTCAACACTGGAAGATCCATCACTTTCCAGGACTTTCTTCCACCTTACCCCATTGGTGGAAAACTGAATAGCTGCGTGATCCTTATGGTAGATGGTACTTGGGTTGACAATAAATGCCAACTTCAGCGATGTGGAGCCTGCTACTTCGAGCGAGAAGACTTTCTGTATTTACGAGGGTTGTGTTTTGAAGAAGAGAGAAGAGCACATTTTCGAATGAGCGGCTACTTTGCTGGGCGACCAGTGCTGCGTGGATATTTCAGCATGTCTGTCATATGGGATTCTTCACAAAATCGTTGGTTATTGTATGATACAGACAAAAATTCAACGCTCGCCACATCCGAACAGAGTGACACTGGTGGGTACCCACTTGGCGTAAAAACTTGGATCGCGGCCGTGCCACTGTGCGGGGCGCCTACTGAAAGCCAACTGAATCTTAGCTTTTCCAGTTGCTCCAATGAGCAGTACATGTGCAATTCTGGATCCTGCATCTCTCAAGAAAAACGCTGCAACCTTCGATATGACTGCACTGATGGGAGTGATGAGAACGACTGTCGTGCTGTGAAAACTGGCAGTGGATACCAGCAGCACGTGCCACCCAGAGGACCTAACGATACAAACCTTATTGTCACCCCCTCTGTCAATATCACACGCATCACCCACGTCGATAATATAAGAATGACCATTATTGTAGAGTTTCTCATATCACTTACCTGGAGGGATGACAGGTTGACTTTTAGGAACCTGAATCCACAAAAAGAAACCGCCATCACTAAGACAGACTTGCAGCACATTTGGAGGCCTGAATGCCAGATCTCCCCCCTCGAGGGAGGTCAGATCAGCTTGCTGGACGACTTCGCCGTGGTCCCATCGGCCAACAATGCTACCATTCCGGACTTCAATGCCGTCAGCAGAGGTGATTTTTTGTCTTGTTTTTTTTCTTCCTCTAATATGGTCTGTGTTAATTGCATATTATACATATATATATATATATATATATATATATATATATATATTATTTATACACAGGCAGACATCCTATAGCGGTTATAGTGGTGACAGGGTGGGTCTCATAGGCATGACTATAGTAACCATCATCAAAGTAATACAGTATATAGAATCGAAACTAACAAGTACAGACAAAAGAAAAAGGCAAAAACAAATCTAATGGCGTTATCCAAATCATGACTGGAGAGAAGTTAAACAGTGAAGTTAATTGCAGTTATAACAACAATTAATTATAAGAATAATAAGGTTAAAAGCGACCCACCACTGTAGTTACGTATTACATCAACTAACTGTTAGTTCCTTGAGATCGTTGGTGTTTCTGTTTTCGTGAGGAGTGATCATTATGCACAGCTCCATGTCTTGGCTACGGCTGGACCGGTTATTGAATGAGGAGTCTATAGGGGTGGTCATGCTCGTGGTGAGGTTCTTGATCGTTTAATAAGGTGTTTTAGAGAGTAGTTGTCTTGATCTAGACGAGACAACTACTCTCCTAACCAGTGGTAGTCCTCTCACCTGTAATCACCAAACTCATATTAATTTCCAAGCTCAAGTGTAACAATATAAAAATAACTAAAACAACGGGATATACAAGTTAGCATAACCTGCACTTGGCGCTCAACACAAAGTTATATTGCGGTTCAAACTGCCAAGCTGAGTTAATGAGATTCTCTCTAAGTTAGATAGAAATATACTTAACTAAATGTGTTACCCTGTGTGTGTGTGTGTGTGTGTGTGAAGTTCTAATATTTTCTGATTTCCTGTAATTTCTCCTCAGAACCTGGGTATCCCGGGGACAGTAACGACATAATCACCAGCAAGAGGTATGCAGCGGTATTTACCTGTGACTTCGATCTCTATATATACCCCTTCGACATCCAGGTGTGTAGCATCAACGTCGACATGCCACGGGAATATGATGGCTCTGTTGAGTTTTCTAAGGAAGGTTGGAGAGCGTCTTTCACTGGGTCTGAGGATCTCTCTCAGTACAAGGTGAAGAATATAGCTATTGATCCTCGCTCCGGAAAGGATAAGATGACAGTCAACTTCGAGCTTCATCGCCTTCAGGGTGTGATCTGGCTGTCAACGTTTGTGCCGTCGGTAATGTTGCTGATGGTGAGCTGGGCGACGCTCTTCATCAGGATGGAGTTACTCAACGTGAGAGCCGTCATGTCCCTCACCACACTGCTGGTGCTCTACACGCTCTTCACCAACCTCTCCCTCTCCATGCCCAACACCGCTGCCATCAAGCTTATTGACGTCTGGTTCTTCTTCATCATCATGCTCATATTTCTCAATATCATGGTTCATATTTTTATTGAATACATTGTATACATTCTCCCAAGTAGATTTGCCCATGACAATGAATATGGAGCTGTGAATATGACTCATTTGGACAAGAAAGCTGAGAAAATAGTATCACTGATTAGATTTTGCTTTGTTCCTTCAGGTTTTATTATCTTTAATATAATTTTCTGGGCATTAGTATTCACATATTAATTGGACATTGATAGGTCTGCCTAATTCTCAAATGGGCTAGATTGCTCCAGGTCTGTAGGAAGGGACTTTCATTGTCGACCTTGCCATGCTCCCTATCCATTGTCTAAGAATGAGGGGCGATATGATCGAGATGTTTAAATGAAGTCAGAGTTAAACCAAGGTGATATAACAAAGATACTTATACTATCCAACCAGGAGCGAACTCGTAGCAATGGTTTTAAGTTAGATAAATTTAGATTTGGGCGCGAGATAGTTAAACACTGGTTTGGAAAGAGAGTAGTGGATGAGTGTAAATGGAACTGCCAAGTATGGTTTAATAGGCCTGCTGCAATTTCCTTCATTCTTATGTTCATTCAGATGGAGGAAATTTGATGATCCTCTTCAAAAAGTACAATAACATAAAAAATGCCACCATAAACAAACACATCACATCTCCTTTTTCAAATTTCATGAAACACAAAGTTACACAGTAATTAAACACTTGGAAGCATCCCCCATCAAATTAGTCACGCCAGCTGCACAAACTTTATGTCAATGACTCTCCCATAAATCGTGTACCAAGGATCCAGAACCACAAGAGCCTAAATAACCTGACGGCCATAAACAGATTTGAATTGATTCCTCTTAAGTTTTGACGCTTCACATAAATTGGTGACCGTAATAATTTTGAAGCTATTGTATCTCAGCTTCTGATGTTAAGGTGTGTGAGCTCGATATACAGCGCTGTGTATCAGTTTTAGATGTCAAATTGTATTAGCTGTCAGTATAAAATAATGTATATTACAGTACTCTTACACTGCAAAGAATTTACTATAAAAATGTATAAGCAATTTTTTTTAAATTCTTCACAAGGTGTGTCAGTCTAACTTGCAAATTATATCTCAGCTTAAAAGGATATATCAGCGTAGCATGTTGATCTTCATGTTGTCAACACACGTCTGTGTAACAGAAAATGCATAAGTAAAACACAGAATAATTTCAGTACTCTTGATGTCAGTATAGTAAAGAGACTTGTTGTAAAATTATGCACATTGTTTATATATGTAAAAGGTGAATCGATACTTAAGGTTACACAAAGAAAATCGGTGTTTGGTGTGAATTATGAAATGACAAAAAAAAAAAAATCTATCTATCTATCTATATATATATATATATATATATATATATATATATATATATATATATATATATATATATATATATATATATATATATATATATATATATATATATATTGTCATTTCAATTAATATGCATATATTGCAGTCAATATTATTAGCCGATGTAATAAATGATTTGTTACTAAATATTATTTAATCTCTCCCTCGATACATTTATTGAGTAACAGAAAAACATACATTTGAAATATATCACAATAAATGTACTGTGTTTTGCTACTATCAGTCGACGCAGGACTAGTGAGGCCACCGCTGCCTGCCTAGTTCATAAGAAATACAACATGGCAGCCACTACAGTCGCCAGCAGATTATCATTATAGACTTTGAAGGTTATTTATGAAAATTTTCGACTTTCAGGTAATTGTTTTCGAGCTTAACAACTATAACTAAATCCATCCTGCGATCACTAGGTTCCGGTAGTTCAAAAATAATCCATAAGGTGTTGCCAAAAGTCTTTAGAACATATATATATTTTTTTTGCTAAAATAAAAGAACACTAGGAGAAAGTTACTTCATAATACCAGGGCAGGCGAGATTTCTTCTTTCATATTTGACTCGAAAACTCTCTAGTAGTTGTTACTCTGACTTAGTATGGCGCCAGGAACATTATCTGTCATTGCTGGTGGCTCTGTAAAGGTTGCGGAATTGGTGTACTTATCACCTGACAGCATACTATTCACTATAACTGAAGTAACTAAAAATTTGAAAAATATATGTAGTATGGAGAGACTACTAGACGTTTAATTAAGTTTATACTATACGTAATGTCCCCTCTCTGTTAACACTTTAGACTTGCTTCTACCATTCACATTTTTTTGGACATTAGCCCCCTTTGCACTCAGCCGGAGATTGATATCTAAATAAAATTAATTAATATAAAGAAATAACAATGAAGAGAATATCATAAGGCACGAGACATCAATTATATAAGGAACATCATCACTCCCAAAGTAACAGTAGATATAAGAAAAGTAGGAGGAAATATGTATGTCCTGTAGGTAGATACGATTCTCTCAACTCTGGCTGTGGAAGTCTCCCGTTGTACAAACACCCTCCCGAAAGGAGAAACTTTTATTGTCTCCGGAGCTCCTTCAGTACTCTGAGAACACCGATGTACAAGGAACTCCACGAATATGTGTACCATGATGTTAAAGAAGAGGAGTAAGATGATTAAGAAGAACCAGATATCGATGAGCTTAATGGCGGCAGTGTTAGGCATGGAGCTGGAGAGGTTAGAGAAGAGTGTGTACAGCACTAACAGTGTGGTGAGTGACATTATGGCTCGGACATTGAGAGCCTCTTGCTTGACGAAGAGCGTCGCCCAGCTCACCAGCAGCAGCAGCACCGACGGCACGAAGGTGGACAGAAGAACCAGACCCCCGCGACGGTGCAGCTCAAACTTTAAGCTCAGTTGGTCAGGTCCAGACTCCGAATTCAACCTGACATTTTTTACAGTATAGAGGGACAAGTCTCTCTGTCCTGTGTAAGACCCAACACCTCCTGTCCTTGAGAATTCAACAATATCGTTGTAGGTCCATGGAAGGCGGAGGTCAATGCTACACACCTGCACGTCGAAGGGGTACACGTAAAGATCAAATGCACAAGTGAATCTCGCCGTGTACTGGTGGATGATTGAGAGATTGTTGGATGCCCCTGGATAAACGAAGTCTGTAAGCAGGAAAATTTGGTAAAAGAAGTTACCCTGTTGAGCTGCATGTAAAACCTTATCAGTATGAGTTTCCTTTTACTCGATTATGTATTTATGATTGTTTTTATTTAACAAAAAATACAGACTGAGAATTTTTTAGTTTGTGCAATATTACTGATGCTACATGTGATAAATTTAGTGAGAATCCCGTGCAAATAGAAAATTTTAAGATTTTGAAAATATAGGAAAGAGAAAAATGGGAGAAAGAAAATACAAATAGTGTTATTTACCCAAAATGTCTTGAGCACACCACAGGAGAAGTCTAGGAGACGTACCTCTTTTGGCAGCGTTGAAGTCAGGTAAGCTGGGCAAGTTTGAAGTAGTGACGACCATCGTTTCATCCAGCAGTTCGTATTGTCCACCTTCCAGGTTTACCAATTGGTACTTAGGCGTCCATATCTGTTTAACTTCTTCCTCTAGGATCAATGTGTTTGTATTGGGGTGTAGATGGTTAAAACTAAGTCGGTCGTCTCTCCACGTTGGGCTCACTATGAACTCCAGGTCCACCGCCATGCTGATGTCATCAATTCCGGCGATGCGAGTGAGCGTGAGGGTTGGCGTGAGTAAGAGGGTCGTGTCCTGTGGACCTCGAGGTGGCAGGTGACGACGATAGCTGCTATCTATCACAACTACGCCACAGTCATCTTCGTCACTCCCGTCGAGACACTCATAGCGGAAGTTACAGCGGTAACGTTGGTCGAGACAGAAGCCGGATTTACAGGTAAACATGTCGTGTGGGCAGGAAGACAGGCTGAGAGCGATGTCAGTTCCTGAATGGAAACCACACACCAGGTCACCCGTTGTCCAGGTGTGTCGACCGATCGGGTAATGATGACGCTCATGAGGTGAAAACCATGCCATTGTTACATTGTTTTCAATACTCTTCAGTAACCAGCGCAGAGAGATGTCCTCCCACAAAATGATGAGATCAAAATATCCACGAAACAAAGGTCGGCCCTCTATATATCCACCTAGACGGAAGTACATCTTTTGTTCCGTGGGAAAGCATAATCCACGGAGGTATAGGAACTCTGATCGATCGACATGACAAGTGCCACAAAGCTCAGTGGCACAGGAAGTGTCGCTCCAATCACCGCCAGGAAAGATGTGACCGCAGTTATGGATCCTCCCGCCGCGGGGATGAGAGGCCCTAAAGTTATCATACACTATCTGTTTCTGGCTATTAATATTTACCCACACTCCCTCCTCAGCTTCATCGGCAATGCCAATATAAAACTTGTACAGGCTTCCCGGCTGGCAGGTTTCGTAGAAAGGCTGAAGCTCTTTGTGTAGGTGGTTATTGTCGTCGGGTGAGGAGGGGACGGCCATAGAGGAGTTGAAGACGCGACACAAAGATAATACCTGGAGAAAATTGCGTACCTCTGGCAGCACCTGGTAACGATGTGAGGGTCTGTGGGTGTAAGGAAAGAAGCTCGATGAAGAATAACACGTGGAAGACGGTAATTGTTAATATTTAAAGGGATAGATAAATTGGTCGGATAGCGATAAGTTTGGACAGGCTTCGCAGCTATGGTAGAAATAATGGACTCATGACACGAACACTATCTGTGAATAAGAAATCAAATGGTAGGGTATCATGTAATGTTTATTAATTAGACTACACACATTTTTCAGAAAAGATATATGGTGCTATGTATATGTATAAAAAAATAACTAATGAGGTTGTGATGTCTTTTGATATATGATCAAGAACTTTAAATGTTAATTTAATTTTATAAATTAATTCTATCGTATATTGTCAGCGGACAAGTAGCTGGACTTTTATTATGGTTGGATTGGTAAATAAATCAAGGTCACAATGTCACTCACATAATGTATATAAACACTGCACTATGTTCAGCTGCGATCTATTCCAGAGAGAGCATTTAGTTGCTGCTCTTTTTTTAGTAGAACTATCAGTAACATCCATGGGAAACATAGACTCCTAACACACTTGATCACCTGCAAAAGTACTGGAGGTTGACGAAACTCCCTTGGACCTCACCGAATACTTCCCAGTTGGCCGAATCCATACTTAATATGTTTCCTAGGCCAGGGGCGCGACAACTGGCTAGGTCGGCCACCTCAGAGGAGCGAAGTGACCGGTCCCAGATACTCAACTGAGCGATGTCACCATGAAGCACCTGGAAGAAAATACTGAAGAACTTAAACACACACACACACACACACACACACCAGTCAGCCCTCAGTAAGACAAGACGTGTTCTGTAGGCACTCATAACTGGCCGCCAGGCAAAGTCTGTTTGGCCCTGCCCCCCCCCTGCTATATCCCAACTCCCTACCAACCTCACTACACCGGTATTTATCAGCAAAAGATTCAAGTGATCATTGCAATGATTGGTTACCAAACAGTGATCCGATAATGTAGTCCAAAGAAAAACAAAAAAATACTACAGTGTAATACCAGACCATAGGCACTTTGTCGGTCACCTTCAGAGTGCCAGTGACAAGGACCACCGCGGTGTTTATATATACCATGGGTACTGTGTCGGCGACCCTTAAGTGCCAGTGACAAGGACTCGCGATGTTTACGCCTTGACAAATATTAACAGATGTCTACCAATGTCAGAGGCCCTCAAAGCACCGCCAGTGAGTTTTCTGGCCACCGTGGACAAACACTTCCGTCCGTCCACAACAACAGATATCAACAGATCTCCATCAATTAATTATTCCAGACGCTCCCTGTACCTTCTAAAGCATGGGATGGTTATCCTGATGGCAGTGTTATCGAGTGACTTAAGTCACTGAAAATATTCTATGTTCGCAGCCGTAGACAAGGACGTCATAAACAAGAGCCCATTAGGACCATCACCTCCACTAGAAAACCAGAGAAACCTCCTCCTGACAGACCGTACCAATACACTGAAGTTCAACGAATATGGTACGGTCTCCTCTCTTTACTACTCTCCAACGGCACTTCCTTAGCTAATAAATTGGACGAACTAGCAACTGCAGCCCGTTCACTCGCTGCCAACGTCGTTGCCATATGTGAAGCATGGCAAATTGTTCCTGAAACGTGCCATATGGAGGAATATCAACTCTTTCATCACCTTTGCTCAAATGGACGCGGAGGGGGCGTTGCCCTCTGCTGCCAAGATGAGCTACGCCCGTCACGCCTGGATGTTCCAGTCCCACCTGATGTGGAGGCATTATGGGTACGGGTTCGTGCCACGGGCCCACCCACGCCACACTACTACTATCATATATTGTGTGGCATACCATCCACCTCGCTCACCCACCAGAGACACTCTTATCAATCACCTCATTGCCACCTCAGAGTTAGGTACCCTTGTGCCAAGCGAGTATTATGCTGGGATTATAATGAAATTGGAACCACTGATATCCAGGACCAGCTGCTACTATCACAAGTTGTGAACTTACCCACACACGGTCAAAATACCCTTGACCTTATCTTAACTGATTTAGCGGACCAGTATCAACCACCTCAACTAATGTCGCCTATCGGGTGTAGCACACACCTATCGGTGCTCTGGTCTCTAGCTGCCACTACCAGCCAAGTGCAGAGACCCTACATCAAGACCTACAGGCCGATTACTGACTCTGCAGTGTGTCTCTTCGGGCAATGGATAGTTCACCATCCCTGGACTGAAGTACTTAGTGTGGATGACGTGGACACCAAATGGATAAATCATACCAACACCACCACGAATGCTCACCATCACTTCTTCCCCGAGAAGTCCGTCAGATCACACCCAGCTGACTTGCCTTGGATAACACCTTGGATCAAAAGACTATCAAAAGACTTAAACAGCAGAGAGACAGGTCCTTTTATCTCAATAACCACAACAGCTACAGGTCCCTTCGCAACCAAGTCATCCGTGAAATATGCACTGCAAAGAAGTCACACTACCCAACCAAGTTGCAACGCCTTAAGCAGACCAACAACAGTCAGTGGTATAGTTAGCTTAAAGAACTCTGTGGATTAAACAATAAGACACACCCCCTCCCCTTCCTTAGCCATCTCACTAATGGTGACGCAGCTGAGCAATCAAACAACCATTTCGCAACTATATCCCAAACTCTCCCCCGGCTTGACACAACCAGTCTCACTGCCTTTCCCACTGACTTAGTAAAAATAATGAGGTAGAAAAACATCTGGACAAACTGAAGTTAAAGCGCTTCACCACCCCATTGACTTACCAATGAAACTCTACAAGGAGTTCTCCCTGGAACTAGCTAAGCCCCTCTGCTCCATCATCAATACTTCCCTCAGCCAAGCAAGATGCCCAGCTGACTGGAAGACCTCATATGTGTTACAAGTGCCCAAGTTTACCAGCCCACATTCCTTAAATGAGCTACGATCCATTGCCATCACCCCAATACCCAGCTTATTCTGTGAAAGTTTCGTGTTTGACTGGGATTATACTGATGTTGCAGGCGCCATAGATCCTCAGCAATTTGGCAATATGGAAACTTCCTCCACCACTCACTATCTTGTCTATTTTCTCGACTACATATACCGCCATCTGAAAAAAACGAAAAAGGTCTGTGGCTGTCGCCTTCATTGACTTCACCAAAGCATTTGACCTAGTCGACCACAATTTAATCAACAAAATTATCGACCTCGGGTTTCGAAGAAGTCTAGCCGTACGATTTCCGAGGGGCTGTCTCCACTTTTCAATCACTCACCTGTGGCATCCCCGAAGGCATCAAGATGGGACCGCTCTGCTTCCTTATGCTGATCAATGATGCCCTTAGAGAAACCCCTGCTCGCTGGAAATATGTCGACGACTCCACCATTGGGATCAGTGTCAACAACTCGGCTCCAGTCTACACCGCCCTCCAGGATTTATTGAACAGTCTCCAGAATTGGGCCACCAACAACCATGTCACTATCAACCATACTAAGACCATGGTTATGCACATAAACCTCTCCTCCGACGTTGTCCCACCTCCTTCCATTACTTTAGGTCCCAACCCACTCCAGGATGTAGATTCCACTAAGCTCCTCGGCGTCACCATAGACAACAAACTAAATTGGAAACCACACGTCAGTAAAGTTGTCAAATCCTCCAATTTCCGTCTCCACCTCCTCCGCCGACACAAGTCCCACCGGAATTCCTACCCCCGAGCTCCTCAGTGTTTACTCAACATTCATACTTCCTAAGCTCACCTATGCCTCCCCTACCTGGTCTTCCTCCCCAAATGCCACACAACTTAAGCACCTAGAAAAGGTGCAAAAGAGGGCATGCAAGATTATTCTCTCCCCTTCCTACTCCATATATCAAGAAGCGCTCAACACACTGACCCTCTCGGCTCTCACTGACCATCACCACGACCACATCTGCAAATTTAGTGAGAAGCTTCTGCACCATCCTCGACACCGGCTCTTAGTACCACCCGTGATCCCTCGTCCGCGAATTTCTTTTCGACACCACAACGTACTGATCGCTGTAAGAACAACCTAGTCCCAACCATTGTAAAAATTATCAATAACTCGTAATCAACCAGTGTATTCACTCCCAGTCAATCTTACCTTTTTGCACTGTCACGAAGTTGAAATGCCCTGTAGACCTTCTCCCCACCTAGTTATTATTTATCATATTTGTACTACATATGTTACATGTATATTATTTGTCAATCAAGAGACCCATTCCCCAATTATGCAGCTGTATATTTTTAGCCTTCCGGCTGCCATGCTCTTTCAATAAACTGTTTATTTTTATTATTATTATTATTATTATTATTATTATTATTATTATTATTATTATTATTATTACACATACAAACACGCACACACACACACACACACACACACACACACACACACACACACACACCACACACACACACACACACCAGGTGGAGGAACTAAAGACTCCCAACAACTTTCCTACACCCTGTATGAGCTGGGAAGACCTACCAGGACCACGCGATGGGTGTTGAAGTCTGCGTGTAGATTGACCAGCTTGAAGTAGCGGCCAGAGCTGCCCCTCACACCTATATGTGTGTGAAACTTTTTGTACCATGGGAAAGAAGCTTGTCGATGCCACTTGACAACCGAAAAGGGAGTTTACATGCCCTCCTCCCTTATACCCACTGAGAAAACTACCAAATCTATAGTTACCCTATACGTTCATCCCATGTATATAACTCTTAGCAAATAATAGTTATATAATCAATAAACAAGTTGACGGATACATGGATAAAGAAATGCACAGGTAATTAATAGAGCAGCAGCTGGATGAATACACAAATAAGATGAGAGGTAGACAGTAACTCTTACCTGGTCTCTATGGAAGCCGCTAGCAAAACCGTCCTGTTCCTGGCCAACAACGAGGCTGCCGTTGAGAGGAGCACTACCAGGGTGTTGTAAAAAGCCCTCAGCGAACACCTCAAGGAAAAAATATTGTTGATTTGTAA